ACCTCCTTGCTCCTCATCATTGTTCAGCAAATGAATACACGAGAACTAGTCGCATGTCTTCGCTCCTGAAAAGAGATAATGTGGATTGGGCGTTGGGCCTAAAACATGGTTTTTGACCAAAAATACGAAACTGTTCTACTGGATCGGAACCGATGCAGCTGTGAACGTTTAGATAACCAGCCTCGTAATTGGAAGAAATTTTTTTCAGATTATGAGGCAATATAGCATTGGCTTCGGAACCATTATTCATATAGACATGTTAACCTTCATGTTTATGTTCTGCGCATAGGAGGCTGAAAAGAAAACATGGGTTCTGAGGACTTAAACTACAATCAAAAATCTACAACAGCAGCGTAGGTCCAGAGACAGATATAAACAACCTAGAAGCAGACACACAATAAAGTTGCGAAACAACATAAAACCAGATAAGATAACCAAGTGCTAAGAGACAATACTTCATTCAAGAAAGCTAGTACTATGAGTGCAAAACACAACAAATCACATCTTTGTGCTAAGCGATATAAATGACAAAAGTATACGCCCAAACCACGTTTCATATCCACCAAGGACAAAATCCCGTAATGTGAAACATTTCCTAAACAAATGTATACCGGACTGGTGTCAGTAGCAAACTTTCATATTCATATTTATGAACTTATCGTAGAAAATGAAACAAAGAATTCCAGAAGCTGATAGTAGTTCTCAAGAGAATTTCAACAATGACACGAAAACCAAATCTGAAGGAAAGTACTACGGTTACACAGAACGTGATCGACTTCTTGCTTGTAGCCTTTCCATTCTTTCGAAGTCATCGCGGTGTCCACGACTTGATACGCTGTTACTCGAGCTAGAATATGTCCGCCGAGGCCTTCGTTCCCTAGCGTAATCCTTTTGATTGTGAGATGACTCCCTTCTGCGCCTATTTTCTTCATACTGTTTCATTTCGATAAGGAAGTCATAGGCCCTTCAAATAACATTAGTCAGAGCAAAAGAGCAAAAGCAGGATCAAGTCAGTAAATACTTCTCGCGTTTTCGCTGGCTCTTCTCGCGTTGTAGCTTTTTTCGGAATTGTTTGAAAATCGATCTCCAACTTCTACGATGTCTTCCTCCTCTCCGGTGGCTGTTAAAAAAATGTTAGCTTGACATAATAGAATGCTATATGAGAAATTCGAACCTTTTTTCTCTTTCGCCTTGAACGTTTTCTAGAGTTCCAACACCGGGAACGATCGTGCCCTCTTCAGCTTTTGACAAAGATAGTGGAACGTCAAGCTCGACAATACTGTCTCCAGAGGAGCCAACACTTGATCCCGGCTTAAAAGAATATATTAAAATACACATATACTAAGTAGTACCAATAAGGCGTGCAAAGCAAGCTTCCTCCCTACCATTGCCAGATGTGCAGAGGTGTTGTCTCTAATTATTGTAGAGCCGCCAGCATCGTCATTCAAATTCTGTGAGACTGCACAATCCATTACTTCATTTTCCATTCCCAGTTCTTAAAAATGAAAGTATTGCTCGTTGTCGAACGCGGCGTATGGAAGCAACAATACGGTTCATTAGGCCACTCGTCTCATACAGCTTCCAGGCATTAGTCAAAGTAACTGCCTCGGTGTGAGTCAGTCATTCAAATTCTGTGAGACTGCACAATCCATTACTTCATTTTCCATTCCCAGTTCTTAAAAATGAAAGTATTGCTCGTTGTCGAACGCGGCGTATGGAAGCAACAATACGGTTCATTAGGCCACTCGTCTCATACAGCTTCCAGGCATTAGTCAAAGTAACTGCCTCGGTGTGAGTCAGTAATCGTGGAGGTACCCGTGTTGTAATCAGTAGTGTATTCTCTTCCAAATTCTATTTTTGCTCCTCTTCAAGTTTTTCAAGTTCTACTACGAGGTACTTTCAAGTATTAAAACGCATAGAGTTGCTATTGAGAACCGCGGCCATTAATGGACTAAAGTTCGCACCTCGGTCTGCGGAGACGATCCCAACTTTCTGATCTTCACTGACAACATTTGCATTTGTAGCTGATGTAGAAGCCTCATCAGACAGAATCCTCCCAGTAGTGGCATAACGATTGCGTCTCTCTTGCCATAAAGCCGCCAGAAGCTTGTTTTCGCCTACTAATGAGCTTTCAGCTGATGAAATTCATGGAAAAAGCATGCTAAACTGGAATTCAAAACATTCAAGGAGCAGATTCGGGAAGTCTCTTATACAGGTTTCTTACTATTATTTGTAAGTGGTGAAGTAATGAGTTAACGCAGTTTTCACAAATTAGTTAAGTCAGCTAACAGAAATACGAAAATGAGTATAGTAATCGTTTAATAACTCCGTAGAAAGGGCATTCATTGTTGCATTTTCCATAAATGAATACAAGGTAAATCGATCGCAATTTGTACGCAGTGCTTTTAGGATTGTCTCATAAAGCGCTGTCATAAAATGCTTCATCTGATCTGCTATCAGAGTTAGTCATCAGACACGATTGAGAATGAGATTCTTCCTTTGATTCATTTTCTATTTTCCGATTCTTCCGTAAAAACAAGGTAAGGAGCCAGAAAGGTACATAAATAACAAGTGAAGAAAGACCTCGAATCACGGAAAACCTTCTTTGAAAAAGTGAGCGATAACAGATTGAAAAACCCTAGAAATAAAAACAGAAATATGCAAACGCTTTAACGTCCACCCTTTTCCCCCTCAATTTCTCCAGTTCCTTCTGACATATTGCTTAAGATTTGCTGATTGAGAGAACTCCTACTATTCCAACGACTCCAAGAATACTCCAAGAGGAAAAATGTAGAGTTAGTTTGATTTTCGCGTTAACCATTATGATCTATTGTTCTAGTACAACTGCTGCATCGTCTCTCTACAGTGTTTTTTCCAAAAATGGAAACTGATTAAGTTCCTTGCCTTACGTTTGTTCTTGCTTAGTGAAGAATTTTTAACAGCACAAGAAACTGATTACGTAAATCTCCAACCTTTAACTTCGATCGGTCCTTTGGGCAGCAAACCCTTAGCGGATCCAGGGACAAACAATGATTTCTGTAAAAGAACAGTTAGCAGTACAAAAACGCAAATTGGATAATCATCATAACTACCGGCTTGCGAGGTGCTTCTGATGGCTGCAGTGGTCTAGCATTTGCTGAACTAGAGGAACTTGGCAAGACTTGCGACTCTATCGGAGACGTTCCTAAATAAGCTGAGCTTACGAATCAAGCTGAAAAAAAAAGAACTTTGCTTAGATTGATTTGTAGAGACCTGGCAATAAAAACCTGCGCTACCGCAATGCTTGACAAACTTGATAAATGTGGAAGCATACCAGGCCGGTTTGAGTGGTTTGTTGGTGACAGCCAGGCAATATTATTTGGTGTAATCGTATCCTGCGATGAAGAAGAACCTTGACCTGACCGCGACGAACCTGTTCGCCTTCTGAAAATCCAGATGTCACCAACATAACTGCGAACTGAGTAAATATAATACGATATCCTGTAGGAGCCAAATCGGGATGCAAATGTGTAGATTTTACAAATAGACTGCAACTTATGTGACGTAAGGCAGAAGCAGATATTTTAAACTGTTTGACTGTCGAGTACTGTAAAAGGCTGCTTCTGAGAAAATGAAGTAGTAGCAGTTCTTACGAGTGCCCATCGAAACCAGTTGTCGGTGACCTGTCGTTTTCATCGTCGCTAGAGAGAACTATCTGAAAAAAACAGCAACACTAAAAATCGGAATGCACTAGCACTTCTTTCTGATTAGTATTTTGAAGCAAAGTTGCGCAGCCTTGTGAACTCGGAAGAAATGCTTTCTTTGAATGGACTCGAATGATTACTACATCAAAACTGCAGTTGATGTAAATTCCACCTCACCGTCGTATCGTTTTCTACTGGAGCAGAAGACATGCCGAGAGAGCGAAGAAAATGTTGATGTTCACTACGCGAGAAAAACGGTGTGAAGAGATGCTAAAATTGACAGCAAGAAAATTCGTCATTTTAGAGGAAACTAACCATGAACTAACCAACACATAGAGTCATTAAAGTCACTTTCGAAAAAATACTGACAAATTACCTGGAAAAGGTCACGAGAAGATCCGAAGGCATCAACCACATGCAGTGGTCCAGCATGAGGAAGAAAAGGATATCGTGGAAGGAGGCAAGCTGGCCGAGCGTATAAGTCTTCAGCATTCGAAGCTTCGGAATTTGACGACGTGGCTTCATCCTGTTGAAAAGATTTAAAGGTTACAGCGACTGAAGACTCGTATCCTAAAATCTTATGAATAAAAGCGGTTAAACTGCAAAACAAGACGGACAGACACGCGCATTTTTCGGATATGTTACGTTTTTTTTTAATTTAAACTCTTTCTTTAGAACGGTCTTCTTCTGCAAACACTAATCGTGCCCTGACTTCGGCAGTAAGCGGTAGCACAGACGACTCTTACCTACAAAGGTAACTGTTGAGCAATCCGCTGAACCGAGCTAGCAGACCATTTCGCTGAGCTCAACAACAGTACTCGCCAAATGTGCAGTCTAATTCTTTCTAAGTGTAACGCGAGAACTAACATTTGTCATCTAACACTGGGTACTGATTAAGTACCAAACAGAGGGGAAGTTGCTAAGAAAAATTATAAATGTGCAACTACCATTGAGTCCGAAGAACACCATTCACAATAATTTTTACTCAAGTCAAGGAATGCTCCGAAGCTCATTCCCATCCAAACTGCCTTATACCCTACGCATCAACTTATTGTTATTTCGTCGACTGCCCCCTCCCTTTTTATGACTAAACCATTCCAATGATCGTACAGCTTTGAAGTTGGCCAAATTGGCCAGTGATTTCGCTACTCCGTAATAGAAAAAGAAAGCCCTGCTACCCTCTTGAAAAATAAATGATGATGCTGAATGCAAATTTTTCAGATTTAGAGACTACTATTAGCTAATTAGTCACATATAGCGTGATTGCAAGTAGAACTTTGGCAAGTGGACAAATGCGTGATGCTGCACAAAAAACAAATTTCACCCAAGTCTTTGAAACACTCAAAGAATTCTTGAACCATTAAAATGAAGACTCACTCGAACATAGTTACTTTCTCCACGACCACGAGTTGGCTCATCGTCAGTTTGATTGTTATCGCTTAGAACGATCACATCATCACCAGCATCACTACGAGGACCATAATTTCGTGCGTTATCTAATGCAATTACACCGGAATCGGAATCGCTGTCACTCAGCATGACCACCTCTAAAACTGACAGCTTGTCGTTGTTGAATATCATCTAATAACTTGATGTCAACAAAGTCGAAAAATAAGATTTTGAATGTAATGAACCTTGATTACTGTTACCCCGACGATTCCTACGATGGAGAGTTTGTCTAAGCTCTGGAGAGCTGAAAATGAAAGAATTGGTACTTATGAAATATCTTATTTCTGAACTGTAACATTCCGAAATGGATAAGAGAAGAGAAAGCTAGAATTATGGAATTGTGAGAGAACAGATATCGCACGTGCACTTACCTATATGCGCTCGTTCTGTCAAAATCTCTCAACGACAACATACTACTTGCAAATTCAAACAATTCCGATTGGAATCGATCCAAGTAACCAGGAAAAATCCCTACGAGCCGAAGATTGCGCTGAAAGGAATAGGGTTTTATGATGAAGAAAAACTTAGCGATTAATCAGTGACAAACCGAAAACTGTGGGGAATTAATTTGACTTTCTGAACACCAAAGGATGATCTCCCGTACAACAGCGTCACGTCCTCTTGCGTAATCTTCCTTTGTCTCGGTCGGCTTTCGCTAAAAAAAACATTTCAATTAAAAAGCAGTCACGAAAAGCATGAAACCAAAGAAAGTTGAGGAAAGTAATAGTATAATGTGAGTAGAAAAAGAAAAATGAGAGACCCTTGAAACCGGGGTGAATCTGGCGCTAAATCGAAAACAGCCTAAAAACAAGCTCAAGGTAAGCCAGATGGTCGAATAGACTCGAAAAGTGGTGCACTGTATGCACTATTCTCTTTCCATGTGCATTAGCAAACGTGACTCGGTGCAAGGCGCATTTGGGTTTAACTTTAAGTAAATTTACCAAGCAACACAAGCCATATCACATGGTGCCAAGCAAAATGGTGCCTTTATAGTGCGTATAAAGTTGACAGTGTCTGGCGCTGATCGGGAATCGGCAAGATATGCTTTGCATTTAAGCTCCACGTAGCGTGGACAGAACTTTCTAGTACCGTAAGATTCACTGAGGCCGTTGTAATTCCTCCCAAAATAGATGTGCGAGAGCGACCAAGAGCTGGAAAATTGTCGAAAAATCCCAAAGTGTAAATTAATCCATTTGCTTCTAGAACTACAGTACATTTTTATACAAATATTTCTCAGTCGGTGTTGTCTTGTAAATTAATCGGTACAATATCCTCCCATAAAGGCAAACATAAGATTGACGCCCTTCTTTGAAATATTAATTTGCAGAAGTACCGGAACTGTGTGACAAGGGAGACCAAGTTCTGTAAGAAATTACAAAAAGCGCTAAAAAGGCCGGGTGAGGAGATGCGACACTAAAAAGACTACAGTGTTGAACCGTAGAGCTACGAAAAAGCTGCACCCTAAACAAAGTCACGTGTGCAACGCACATTTGGTGTCCATTTTTCCAACTTCCTGCAAGTTTGACAGAATTATCGCACAAACGCAACGCGAAGATCACCTCGCCTTCAAGGTTGCAGTTGCTGCAAGTTAGATGTTCAAAGCAACTAAGTTAGATGGTCTGCGCATGGTGAAGGTTTGAGGTCCATTTGCTCAGAGCGCCCTTTACGAGCAGATGCAACTGCAGGTAGAGAGATAGTCGTCAGGCAGAAAAACTATTCGAGGTTGCATGTCAAACAGACACATTGCAGACAGAACGTACACAACGCCAGACGATCTGTAACTCTCGATCCAGGAAATTTCGGAGCCTCTCTGTAGAATCGGATACATGAGCACTGAAAACTTCTGGCGAAAACGGCACCTGAAATAGAGACAGTGGTAGGAGCGATCCATTGTATCATTAATAAGTATTACGTACCCTGATTGCATTGCGATCAATGGAACTCCATTCGAGTTTATCTTTGTAAATGAGTGAACGGAAAACAATGTTCCCAACGAGATCTCCCCTGAAATTACAAACAACCTTTATCCAAAACATGAAACAAAATGCTCATCGAAACCTTGTTGTCACGTCTCTCTTGAGCATTTCCAATTTCGAAATTTCATTTACAAGACGATCATTGGCCTTCGAAAGTTCAGAAGATCGATCCACTCGTACGCTACCGCTCCTGAAAAGTAAACACTTTGAGGTCGCGTGTTTTGGAAGCCAAGAATCAGATGAGCAACAAGGCTTGCATTTGTCTCTGGACAGTATCCAGCCTTCGTTGCAAGCGCCGTATTCGCAGTCTTATGCATTCCTGTTCATCGAGAGGTGGCTGGGATTGCCCTCGTTCAGCAAGGCGTTCTGCTTCGGCTGCTGCTTTCAATTCCGCAACCACAACCCTGGAACAACAGAAGGAAAGCGTACCAAAGTCGTCCTGGATTTATATCACATCCTATGATCAAAGGCGCGGCTACCGTGTAACTCCACTTACATTGCACGTTTAGGCGGTGGCAAGTTTCCATGATGCCAAAACCTTTCGATTTTTTTCATGCAAAGCGGACATCTCCCAGAATGCTTCATCCATTGCGAAGTACATGTGTAACAAAATGAGTGTATGCAGTTGTCAAGCGTCGTTGGATCCGATCTCCTACAAACGAAGCTGTTACTTCCAAAAAATTTTGTGGCTAATTAAGCATCGTCGCTAGATGTATCAAGACTCGAAAGGATGGTGGAGTACGAAAAGCTTCGAGTGCTCTCTTCTTAGTTTTTTTTTTCATATGAAAGTAGTTCCGTGGATTCGTGTGAACCGGAAACGAAAATATTAGAAATTTTCATTTTTCTTTCAAAGATCTTGCCTTATTCACTAATTCACCATTTAGGTAATTTTTGAATGTTCATATCAACGGGTGCGCATTACATTTGGATGCATATTTTACTTTGACTTTGAAAGAATCTTGACCAATAAATCCTGCGCATATTACCGCGACAACATAATTACCACAACATAAAGCTTCAACGCCGTCTTCTTAATTGTGAACAAAACAGGCCGGTGTGATTTGCAAGCTGTTTCTACAAATGTAACTATATGTTGTGACAACTAGTCGCCTCAAGCCATACTTTGCACTTTGTTGCAGTACGAGTGTGGAATAGACCTAAATCTGTCGTGCGATCGATACGTACCTACTCCACACTCGGACTGCAAGCAGAACTGCAATGTATGATCCGACTCCGGGGGATCTGATCTTTGGAACCCTTCTGCTGGAACCTTGTGAAGAGAAATGGAACATCAGAAATTATTTGTGGGAGAAGTTGACTAAAGGAGCAAATCCGACTCGATATCGTTCCATTTTTTTTCACTACCAACGCCTTTTAAAACAGGAAGTCGGGAAACAATCTCACGCTACAGCGGCACCCTAAAGACCTCGTTTTTCTAAGTTTCCAAGCACTCGACATTTTGCACTGGACTGAATATTTGAGGATGAAACTTGGGTTCGGGGGGGGTACGCGATGGCGCGGCGCTCTGCTCATCTGCTCTCCACAGGGACCTTACTCTTTCGCCATTACGTGGCAGTTTCAAACGCGCCATCGGTGACTAAGCCTTGGTAGAGCAGACGAAAACAGCGCCGCGCCATTGCGTGCCCCCCCCCGAACCCGAGCTTCACCCTTTTGAGCGCTCACGGACTCCAGCTGAAAGCATTCTAATGTCAAAGAAATGAAGATCGAAATTACGTACGGTGCCAGACAAATCGCACACACGTCCGAGTTGGATCCGCCACTACCTTCCGGACCAGCTTCAAGAGGCTCCGTCTTTTCGCCCTTTACATCCAGAGTTGTGTCAAAAGTGCCATTAGAAAAAGGCGACGTGAGAACTGATCGTCCTGAAATAAGTAAATCATTAGCAACATGAAGTGTTGAGTGAGTATGTTAAACTTCAAACCGTTCTGCTCGGAAGCCAATTGAACCGTGATGCTATCTTTAGCGACCATTTTCGCTCGTCTTGATGGTGGAGCAGACATTGAAGGGTCCTCTGGAGGACGACTAGGAGGTCGTTTTCTTTTCGGAGGCATCACAGGTCTTAAAAGAAAGAATAAGAGGAACGCAGCTGATATTGCAAGTAATTCACTACTTTGCATTGCAGTGCAAAAAATCCCTCATATAACGATACAGGAAGACCAAACATGGAGAAATTCAGCAGCGACAATCGAGATCTGGTGAATACGCTCACAAACCTACATGAAAATAACAATAATGTGTCGATAAAACCCCAAAGCAACCAAACGTGTCAGCTAAGGTAGGGAAGGATCATCCGTCGTAAGATAAGAGTAAGTGGGTGCCGATGCAGAAAATGCAAGCGACTACAGTAGTGGTGCGCTCGAATTGCCGCCGGCTAGGTCGTGCGATTTGGTCGTCAACTCATTCAATCGTGGGTGGATGTCAGACCGGGTTAACCGTCGCGTTCTCACTTTTTAAAAATTTTTTACAAAACCCTCTTCGTCAGGAGGACCTTGATGCCACCCCAC